CTATATCTGTAATATGTTGAATAAATGTTTTAATCAAGAACCTCTACTAAAAGCTTAATCAAAAGATATAAATGAATAAAAGACAATAATGAATAACCTGGTTATTCAAATAGCATCCTCCCAACAGCTCCTCAAAGTAACTCACACTTAGACTCTGCTTTAGTTTCACTTTCACAAACACGCTCTGCAAAAGCCTGCGCTTCTTGTCTACTTTGGCACAGAGCGTACTCAGAGTTAGGCCTTTCTTTTATAATGCAATGTAATCTGCATATAAACATTTAAGATTATAGATTCAATTCAACAGTTTAAAGTGGTTATCACCGCACCTGTAATAAAGGCTAATTGGGTGCCAATATGTTTAAACATCTGAATGCAATAACAATACTGCAGATTGTATTATTAATGCAATGGTAATGATGATGATTATGACCAATAGCAGCAAAATATTTTTCTAATCCCCACAATATATTAATATCTTGGCTGGTTCAGATCTATGAAGTGGTGTTATTGATGTTGTGGGACTCAAAAATAAGAGGGAAGTCTCAGTTTGCTGGTTTGGAATGACCAGACAAAGGTTAATGACTAATCAATAAAATACAGTGATTGAAGAGGCAGAGTGACGTACCCGTAAAAAGGACATCTCCTCCATCCAGTGTCGCATTCTCATCAGTCATTTCCACAATGTTCAGATTTAAATCCTTCAGAGCCCCTTTCATTGCCTCCGTCTGGCAGAAAAACAAGGACACAAACAGAATTAAAGTTAAAACATGTGTGCACATAAAAAAAACAAACAGAACTGTGATGACTTACAGTAAACTACTTCAGCATTTCCTAATATTATGATATGATCCAGGATCTAAATACTGGTTCACGAGATTGTTTGTAATGAAAAAAAACTCTTTTCTCCCCAACAGATTATGGTGACATTACAGTGAGCCATGAAATGATGTCATTTTGTAAGAAGTGCGTTAAAACTTTTACAAGGCAGAAGTTGTGGAAAAATAGGTACGGTGAATGACCAGCACAAATTTAGCACAAATACTTCCTGCTGTCCTTCTGTTCTGGGTCATCTGTCTTTAATACGCTTAAAAGGAAGGGAATGTAAGGATGGCTGCCACCTGGTGATTATTAGCATATATAATGGAATACATCTCTCTCATGGAATATTACGGGAAATCCACACTTCACCTGTATGTCGCCTCTGCTGAACTCAAAACCTGGGGGAAAGAGCTGGTCTGTTTTTGGCTCAACCTTCAGCTAATCTCCTCTCTTGTCTGACCGCCCAGTGCGATTTTACTGTCCTGTTTTTTGGGGTTCCTGCGGGAGTAGTTTCCAAGGCCAGTCATGTTAGCAGGAGCATCAGTGTTTCCACAGGCCCTATCTCACTATGACCTCAGCCTGGCCACTATAATGCCTTTGCTTCTCTTCAACTGCAGAAGGCCAAAGCATGAGGTCATCCAGGTAGACTGCCATGTGCTTCCAGATAACACTGGGGAGGCCTGCAAATACACAGATTTACCTTCTCACCTGCGCATACATCGGCAGTGGTGCACAAAGGCATCCAAAGCAGGTGTACTGGAATCGCTAGCACCTAGCAGGACATTTGGACAACTAAGTGGCTTTATGACCCAGTGATTCACAACCCGAATGGCAAACTTCCAATCCACTCACTTTCCAGAAGTAAAACTGTGGAATCCTCCGTGTTTCGTCTATATTGCATGTTCATCTCAGTTAACCAGGAGGAACACAGCGTTCTTCCAAGAAACTGGGGTTCACAAATTCATTAGTGGTTTCTTAAAAGCTCTGACAGCAAAAGCGTGCAGTACATAAAGAGCTGTATAGGTAACAGTTAATCCCATTCATTTTTCTTTGTGCGTTGCCAAGCCACACTCTGCTTTCTATTTAATTAGGTTTGTAGATAGGTTATGTGAGAAATAAAAGGTTGAGTCAGGTCCCGAGGAACGATCCAGATGGGTGAGAGACATCTTGTGCTTTTGATGTTTATTCGGTTCATGTGTTATGCTGCCTTTGTGTGTCATGGCGTTGGAGTCTTGGCATGTCCTGGCAAAGTTTTTCCTTGTGCCATCACCAATTCATCACACATAATAAAACTTCAGTCAAATGAGTCAATTCAGACACTGATTGATATGGTTGGAAAAAACCCTGTTAGTGATGCCAGGTCTGCACACCAAAGCTGAAAAGAAGTGTCTATTTATATATGTAAGCAGGCATACTTTTTACCTACTGGGCCTCACATACCGGCCAGTGTTTCCTTCTTATATAAGGCATCCCACTACCTCAGTACTCTGGCATTTCCTCTGGAATCACTGGAGATGATGTGACCTGACCCAAAGGGTCCCCAATCACCACATGAACCATAATGGCCCCCATGAAGTGAAAGCATCTGCCCTGTGGGCTGTGCTGTTCTGTGTGTGGCACATGTGGACATAGAAGCTCACATGACTGAATTAAATTTCAGTACAAATGGAAAACAAGAATAAAAAGTGGTTTTGTAGAAAAATCTGACTTCAAAAATATAATGAATTAGTAACATGTCACCACATTTCACTGCACACCGAGAAAACACGGTAGAGTAGTGTATTGTAGTGTGAATGTTCAGATAAATTCCAACCCAAAGATGGCAGGCTACAGACACGTTTTCCTTTAAATCAGTGGCGTAGGTACAAATGTTTTCTGTATTTGGAGACTTTGGCCAATCACAGATCTTCACAGTCAAGATTAGGGGAGTATTACCAAGTCAAGAAGGGAAACAACTCTATGTAGGAGCAGATTAAAAAGGGGACTGCCGTCTGGGACAATGGGGTTTGAATCGTGAGGTTCTCTGATGGGAGAAGCAGGCTTGCTTACAAGTCCAGAGTGACTCGGGAGATATGGCTTTCAGAATATCTGCAGGTGGAGAGCATCACAGAGCCCACACTACAGATTGGCCCCTGGCAACATAAAAAAATTGAACAGGTAAAACTGGGATGCTCTGGATTTTAGCCACTAGTTTGGGGCAAAGTGCTTATACTTTTGACGAAATGCTTTTCATAACATTCAGATACATAGAAAAGTGTAGTTAACACTCCAAACATGTTGTTGCAACTCATTTAAATCAATCACTCATATTCTACAAATAATAATAAATATTTCAGGTCCTTTGGATTCAGTCTTGCTTGGGTTAGAAGTACCGTTCTCAAAAGAAGCACTACAGTGACAATAAACACATGCACCTGTTTGTGTGTGTTTGTGTGAACGTGCATTCATATCTTTGTGGGGACCAAAATCCCGGTCCCCACACTTTGAAGGCATTTTTGAGACTCAAAATGTGGATTTAGCATCAGGGTTACAATTAGGTTATGGTTAGGTTGAGGGTTAGACATTCATTTTTGATGGTTAGAGTTAGGGTAAGGGGCTAGAGGAAGCATTATGTCAGTTAGATGTCCCCACCAAATATGAAATACCTGACATGTGTGTGTTTGTGTGTGTATAGATTTTCTATGAGCTTTGGTATTTCAAAACACCTCTCTGTTGGCAGCGGCAGGACGTTTTTCTTGGCTCATGTGCGGCCCGCTTTCACATCTCCATCTGTCTTCTGCTTATTGTTGATGGCCGGTTTTGAGGTTCCCTTCAGCCTGTTGTAACAAATTCATTTGCGTAATATATTTGTGTATATATCTGTGCATAACCAGGAGTATAAAATCACTTTTTCTGCTCTCATAAAGACTGGTAGGAGCAGCGAGGATTCTGTTTTGATATGGTAACCTGCAATTTATGTCTCGAGGCTTTATTTTTATACATCGCAGCTGTATTCTGAGATGTTAGAACTTAAAACACGTGTGGTACACATGATTACATTATACTAAGCAGTTTCTAAATCTTAAATCTCTGTGTCTGCTGTAGGTCTACTGGAACACAGCTAAATTATTCACCTTGTAATTTTGCTTGTGTTTCTTTAGATCGTGGCATGAGGTGTTTCTTTTTGAGATCTTTGAACCTGCTTCACTTTGTCACACAGGTTCTGATTAAGTGATTTCTGGATTCAACAGGTCTGCCAGTAATCAGACCTGAGTGTTTAGTGAAACTGAACTCAGCTTTCCAAAAAACATGGATAATCACAGTTCATTCATGATTTAACAAGAGGGGCAAATACTTTTTCACACAGGACCAGGATGTTCTGGATAACTTTTCTCCCTTAATCAATTAAATCATCATTTAAAAACTGCATTCTGTATTTACTTGGGTTATCCTTGTCTAATATTAAAATGTCTTTGATGACCTAAAACATGCAAGTGTGACAAAATATTAGGAAATCAGGAAGGGGGCAAACACTTTTCACACCACTGTTGTTCAGCGCTTAACTCAGTATGAAGCCCCCCCAAAAAAAGGTTTACTGCCACTACAGCAAAATCATAATTGATATCTGGTGTGCCATTTCTTGCCACGCTGGCTCTCCTTTTGAGACAGATGTCGATTCGCCTCTGTGACCAGCTGGTTGAAAGGCGTAACAATAATGCCGTCCCCATTCCTTTTCTGTACCTTTCACACAGACCGTCGAGGCAGAATAAAGGTGCAACAGTCCCGCCTTAAACGGGCTCTGTGAAAGGGGCTTCTGTCTCTCACATTCCCTCTATTCTCTTTAAGCCCTCGTGGCAGGGTCAAGAATGCTCCTACAGTGACTTCTCATGCAGAGTGGCCTATTATCTCTCACTGTGAGGGACATCCAATACCCCGTCCTGCCTAGGTGCCAACTCGCTTTGCCAGTCCTCCTTCTCCTCTCCCTCCCGCAAACCATCCTGTGTTCCTTATTCTCTCCTCACCCCTTCCCCCTTCCTCCTACTCCCCGTTGCCCACCAGAGTGCTTGGCCAGGCGGCATGCTGTTAGCCAGCACCCTGCTTTGAATGAAAAAGGCCTTTTAAAATTCATTAGAGGCTGAAGGCTCCGAGGCCAGTCGGTCTGCCTGCCACATTCCTGCCGTTCCTGCACAGGACAGGGGAGACGGAGCAGAGAGAACAGCCCTTTATTTGAGGCTTTTTATGGACCAATTCTCCCTTCTCTCGCCCCTGGTACCCGTGGATATCGCATTCTGCTAAAAAGGACCATCAGTCTGATAGAGCGCAGTGCATTTGGAAAGGGAATTGAGTACATAACAATAGCATTCCTGAGGGTCATCCTAGCCTCCCTACACCAGGCAACAGAGTCCCACGCTCCAGTATAATAGGGATACAGCATTCCTGAGAGTCTAACACACAAGGAGGTGGAGTGACAGTCAACTGGTATTGTTTGTCAGTTTATAACGCACATAAAAAAAGTTGGCATGTAGTGCCAGGTGGTTTGTGGTTTGGCTACAAACTATTATTTTTCTGATATCTTGGTTTGGATGAATTTGACATAGTTGAAGATTCCGTTAAAACAGTTAAAAATAACATAAATGGAAAAATATTTATCTTCATTCTTCTACCTCTGGCTGCTTAGGAGAGGCATAGCAAGCACAACACCAAACTATGCTAAACACTACACTGGCAATCTTCCAAACTGGCAAAATAATCAGCAAAACACATACATACACTCAGTTGTCTAATAATGAAAGTTATTACCCCTCCTACTGAATTTAGAGTTGTTGTCAGAAATTTCACAAATGCTGTTTTTAGAAGAGGAAATGTTTTTCATCAAACTGTTTCTAAATATACCAGTTTTCTTTAGAAAATAACAGAATTAATTAAT